TTATTAACATAAGCTAAGAGCTTTTGCACCGATATCAAACAAGAGTAAATAGATAGTGATTAAAACATGTATGATAAAAACTGCGTAACTGCAGTGTTACTATCACATAATTGGCCGAATCTTCAACTACGCCATAAAGAGAACCGACTCAACCTTCTCAACAAAATTATTTCTGGAAGTGTCGCGATCCCCAAAGTCAAGTACAACAGGATGGGTCCATCGCGCACACGGATCAAAAACGACAACAAGCTTGCAGTCAATCAGTCATTAGAACCTCGCAAGGGGAATTCAAAATCTCATTCTTTCCACGGACCATCATGGACTGGAATGTCTGCACGCAGACCGTGATCGACACTATCAGTGTCGCAGTCGCGGCCGAGGGCGCCTAATTTCACCACGCCCCATCACCTGCGTCATAATACGCATATACGCGGTCGACGCAGTACTATCATCAAGATCAAGATCAAATAGATAGTAATTAAACATGTAATCTAACTACTGAAAAGTAATGGTAGCAATTAAAACATATAGACAGTTGCCTTTAAAAACAATATTTTATATTGTTAAATATTGTTATATATATATCAAGAGTACATAATAGAGATATTGAGATATAGACATATAGAGATATAGATATATAGAGATATATATCTATTATGTACTCTTGATATATATATATAGTTAATTATTTTATTAATATATATACACATTTCTGTTATGCGACTGACATATATATATATATATATATATATAACTGATATATATATATATAACAATATTTAACAATATAAATATTGTTTTTAAAGGCAAGTTCTGTCTATATGTTTTAATTGCTACCATTACTTTTAACAAATTTATTATTAAACAATACAGAACTTCAAAATCGTGGACTTTGGGTGCTGCCGTGAGACATCCAACTGTGCTACCCCATGATTGACGAAGTTGCCTTTTGAATGTTATTGCTATTATAAAAGTTCATGTTTGATATAACGGAACTCGGATGTTAGTAGATGACAAAGGTATATATCACAAAATATATGAACATTACTTAATACTAGGACTTTATTAGTATTTAACATCAATATTTATCCTCTCAGTGTGATCAGGTTAACTTTTTTTGGCTGGCCAACTAATGGTAATGAACATACAAATTATAAGCAAACTTAATGGTATTGATTCTCACTTTACAGTGTTTATGAATTTTAATGACCTTCAATAAAGGTAATTACACCCACACACGCACGCACGCACACGCACGCACGCACGCACGCACGCACGCACGCACACACACACATACAATGTACATTTACAAGTGTAGCACCAACAAAACTAGCCCCATTAACAAAATTCTGAGGCCAAACAACAAAAACAACACCAATGGTGGCAACAATAACATCATACCATAATCCCCCAGTTATTTAATAAATAATAACTAAAATCCATATCATATGATCAAACAGTCTACCAAACAGATGTTGTGATACCCGTATGTATGCTTTCTAAAATATTCTATAGAGTGACGGCTGTAAAACTGTTTGTGGCTGTCGGCAAAATCATTTATTTTTACTTTACCGACTGCAATTCTTTACCCAATTACTGGTCAACCTTTCTCGTAATTCGAAAACCTGCATCGCGTACCATTACACCTATGACTTCGTCCAATTTTCAGCATCACAGTTTATTTCGTGGTAAACATGGCAATTTTCATCGCAAGCGAAATCGGCATAAATGATCCGTGGTTCAACAACAGGGCATGTGTGTGTGCAATGTCAACAACACGCACACGGAGGTGTTTTCAAATACAGCCGATTAAATTTTCTTCGTGACATTGAAGAACATTCAACCGGATCAATGTGCTTGGTGCGATCATGCGATGTTTATTTGTTAAATTGATGGTTTATCGAATGACTGAAAATACCGATTGCTTAAGTGAGCTCATCTAAATAAAGGCATATGAAATTTAAAACTACCTTTCATTTAATGTGTTACATATGCCTAAAATATAAATACCCACAAACACAGCTACACCTATAAATGTATTATACAGGGATATTTATGTATATTTAATGGAAAACATCTCAAGATAAACTCATTCACTCAGAGTTGTTCAGATAACTAAGATATTACTGTAGACATTACTGACGTTATTCGAACAATGCATGGATAGGGGCACGAGCACAGGAATTGGGACAAGGTCATTCAGGTGGATAACAAACATTTCCAAAGGGCTCCATTGGGCAGATGTCTCAGACTGTGAACAGTCCTACGTAGCATTACAGTAGAACACTAGCACAATGTACATGCATGCAGTTTTATTTACAGAATGTCCACATATTCAGTACAGTTTCACACTGTGCCGACATACAGAATGACGTGTGTACGCACGTGTCTATTGTTATATATATGGAATCTGGGGTTGCTGTCTGTCTAGACTAGACTACATAAAATTTTCAAAATACAAGCTTGGTTGTACTTGTCAGAGACTCGAAATTACTATGCCACTACAGCTTATATTACCATTTTATTGCATGACGTGACTACATCGCATTAAAAATGATCTATATGACTACAAAGTGACGGGATTAAGGTTGCCCGGCAGCTGGTAATACAACGAAATCTTCACTCACAAACACGACTAGATTGTTTCCCATCGTCCCTTTCCACTACCCAAAGTCTAACCTACTTCTACTCTATACTGGCCACCATCAACATACTGAAGATTCTGCCAACGAATCTATATGACTGAACGAATAAGTAATTTTCTTGAGAAAAATATCTACTCTTACAGGGTTCGATAATAATATTCGATATAAGGACAGCAAGCAGTTTTGCTGCCTGCTTTCAACATTGGCGGCAATTACTTGCTGCCAAGAAATTCCTAACAAACCATAGTAGAAGAACCAAAGATTCTGCATGTGTGAGTAAATTTGCTGCCTGCCTTTTTCTCTGGCAGCAAGTACTTGCTTTCTGCTAAAAAAAACGTTCAATTCACGTCCCGTCCATGTAACAAGATTCATTTATAATTAATTATTCATGGTTCTTGATTATAAATGTAACCTTAAATTTTTGCGTTATATTTTTTTACATGACAGGGGTGATTTTTAATCATATTTTCACGCAATCCATCAGACATACAAAAAAGAAATATCTGGCAGATGGTGCACATGCAGTTACTTGTCTTAATTTTAATTAAATCCTACAAAGTACAGCATGAATGCAATCATGCATCATATTTTACTCCAACACCATCATATTAAACTGTCACACGTGACGATTTCATGACACATTCCCCAAACAGCTAATGACCATATAAATATGCAAATAAGATGCAGTAACCATTTCAATGACACCATTAGGAAATATAGCAGTGCCAATGTTAGTGTTGTTGTAGTTGGCAGCGTTGGTGGTGGTGCTGGTGAGTATCAATACTAGTAGTAGTACATTGTAAGTGGTACAAGAACGATACAGGTAACGTGAATGACGACGAAGATGCAAAATGTTGTACTTGATAGCGTTGCATTGACGCTTCCATTGCTTGTTGATTCAGTGAGAACAGAAGGGAGGTAACTGCTGTGTGCATGTGCACGCACGTGTCTGTGCATGTGTGTGTGCGTGCGTGCGTGTTTGCGTGCGTCTGCACGCGTGTTGATGGGAAGAACCTTCTGGTCGACTGGTGTAAAAGTCACTGACACATACGTTCCGTTTATTACGCTTCATTTATGTGCTGTGATTATCTGTACAATAGACTAAATTTGAATAGCTGCCTAACAGCCATTGTCTGCTGTCTGCAATTTGCTCAGCATATTATACTTATAGAAAGAAATAATTTAAATGTTATGTTTTGGCAAAATCTACCTATGTTCTCCATGTTTCAAAAGTTGTTTTGCCATGTACTGTTCTAGCACATACACCAACAACAAGATTACCTTGATTACCAGCAGAAAGATATGTTTACACGATGCGAAATAAGACACTGTTGTATTGTTACATTTTATCTTTTTGGTGTATAAACCATCAATCAAAATACAATGACACCCCCATGAGTATGTGATCGGTTCATCCTACTAAAGGAACCAACATATATGATGGGGTTAGCATTCAGTTCTGAAATTTCGAATTAGGATTAGGTTATGGTTAGAGTTTTGTCCTGATGCACCCCTCCCCCTGATGTATAATTACTGAGGTCGTGGTGATAATGATATGTATACAAGCCCAAAAGAGCTAATTTAAGAGTTACCACTATACCTACGCGTACGTAGCCATTCCGAACCTTTATCTCTACAAAAGGAAAAGGTTGAGGAGTCAAGGACTACATAGTCAGAGCTATCTCAACAGTGTGCGGTGGTTCTTTTATCTTGTGGATCAAATGGCTGCGATGCGTACTGATGCAACTAATGTACAGCAAACTCAGTATACCAGTGACATTGCAGTGAAAATTCAAGGGAAGCAAAGACAGATAAATTATAGACACATCGTTGCCTTCTTTTGGCATGCAAGATGGTGTTTATCCAACCCAGACCACTACTACAAGTTAGTGTAGTAATTGACATCATATAATTTGAGTATAAGTATAACCATCTACAAATAATAACCTGGACCCTTTAGGCTTTAGTTATGCTCATAGGGTCTATGCCCTCCAGGGTACTACCGGAGGGTACCCTGGGTACGGTTCGATATATCGTGTAAATATCTGATATGGTTAGGGTTAGGGAGTAGGCGTAGGCGACTCCCTAGACTCGTTAGTGGAGTAGGCGAGGTACGGTCCGTCATATCAGATAGTACCAGGGTACGTTCCGATATATCGAACCGTACCCAGGGTACCCTCCGATAGTAGGGCCTACCCTGGGGGACATAGACCCTCTCAGCTTTAGTTATGTATCCACATGACACGGAGACAGACTATAGTATAGCACTAGCAGTATAACCTAATATTCCGTATGAAATAAATATACAATAATACCAAGGACCTTTATATACTCGGTAATACCAAATACACTTACATGCAATATTTTCAGAAGGGCCTGACCGTGCAGTGACGGATGAGCCAAATCTTGAAAGCAGCAGAAGGGCGGCAATTCTTAACACTGTCGTGAAGATTTTCATTTCTCCACCTGCACTTGCAAGGAGCCTGCCATTGTCGGCCCAAATAAAGCCAAAGGCGTCCTACATTATTCCTGCTTTCTCCATCGATGTGAACGCAAGATCCCACCAGCCGATTACCTTGTTTGAATAACGCAACCACTCAAATGAATGAAAACCTGTCCATGACCATGGGCGATGGGCACCCCATTAGAGCACCAACGGCAACGCCACCACACAACAACAATCAATGTTCCAATACATAAACTACGACCGCCGGTTGTTTTTCACGCCATTCCAACACCGGTGTAGCCGGCAAACGACCATGATAAACACAGCAGAGTTGGACGAGAGTGTACAGAATCTTGTGGACTCGCCAGAAACTTCCGGTTGACGTCAGCTATATGCGTCGGCTGAGACATTCGTACGTGTTTGCCTCACTCAGGCTCAAGCCCGACTGGCAAGCCGGCTGGCTGCTACAGTCACAACAATCCCAGAATGCAGCACGGGTGTTGGAAAAACCAGGAGCCGGCGCCAGCGTTCCCACTTACAAGGAAAATTAGACCCTGCGAAAATTATAATAACGTTGAGAAGAAAATAATAGAAAAAGAAAGCAGCAGAAATGACAGAGCACACTAATTTATTTGTATAATCAAAGGCGGAGATCAGAGCAGGCTAGAGTCTAGACAGATACACACCATAAAGCTAGTTGCACAATAATGACACACGGGCAAATAGTGTCTCTATTTACCCCCAATGACTGAAACAATGGCATAGTACTAACAAATATGAAATCTGAATTATTGCGACAGTATTTTCCATCCTCAATCAGTCCATCACTCAGCACACTTAATCATGGTGCCACATGGATGTATACAAATACATGGACATGTTCACAATACAAAAATATTTGTTTTTATATATCTGCTATTTTATGTGCCACCATCTCCAACTTGCACCTTATTGATTCATACAAATTGTGGTAGATGGCGCTATTTAGAGATGAGACAAAATATCTATATGAAGGCAATATATTTATATGCAGAGGCAAATATATTTATAAATTATGTTATAAAAATAACAATAAATAATAATAGAAAACAGCAGTGCATTATGGATTATATGATTTTAAAGAAATTGAGCCAGACAGTTGAGGAATTTTCCATAGGCCCAAGTGAGAGCACTGAGTGATTCCATATAGAGATTTTAAGCCACCACAATCAAACTGTGGACCCACAAGTATACAAGTTACGAGTAAACTTGGTATTAATTGTTATTATCGAATTGGCGATAAGCAGATCTCTTACACGGACAATCCGATTGTGTGTATGCATAAATCTCTACGAGAGCCAGGAACTGATCAGGAGATATACCTATGAGTCTTATATATGCTATATGAATATGTTGAATATATAAAGTGCCTTGCTTACACCTGAAACAAATCTACAAATTCTGTGGAAATTGTGCAATGAATTCCATTATAAATCCATAGGTAAATATTTCGTGATGACAAAATGATTATAGGCACTGTATCTGTTTTTATATTGATGTATATATTTATATGCAAACCATGTGTGTAATTTTTTGGTCCACAAACCGTTTGTGGCGGCTGAGAATTTTTTCGGTCCACACTGTTTGTGGTGGCTAAGAAATTTTTGGTCCACAAACTGTTTGTGGTGGCTAAGAATTTTTTGGTCCACAAACTGTTTGTGGTGGCTAAGAATTTTTTAGGTCCACAAACTGTTCGTGGTGGCTCAGAAATCGTCGATGCTTTTATTGCTTCTACATTAGCATACTACACACATATGGTTTGCATATAAATATATACATCAATATAAAAACAGATACAGTGCCGATAATCATTTTGTCATCACGAAATATTTACCTATGGATTTATTATGGAATTCATTGCACAATTTCCACAGAATTTGTAGATTTGTTTCAGGTGTAAGCAAGCCACTTCATATATTCAACTTATTCATATATAGCATATATAAGATTCGTAGGTCAGGGGCGTGTACAGGATTTGTACCAGGGGGGGTCTAACCGTAACCCAAACTTGCGAGCACACCCCCAGAATTTTTTTTTAATTAGACCCCCTTAGATGCGTTTTCTGCGCGAGCAGGGGGGGTCCGGACCCCCTGGATCCCCCCTGTACACGCCCCTGTAGGTATATCTCCTGATCAGTTCATGTACACATGACATGCAGATACTCGTGACGCACACATCCACAGTAGAAACAAAGTACATGCATTACAAAAAAACTTTAAAGCCTACATAAACAGCACAATACTAATGCATTAGGATGTAACCCCCTACATATCAAGATTATTTAGTAAACATCATGAGACTGGCATGATAATGTAACTACTTGACTACCCTTAGTCAGCTTAATCACTTGAATTACTGGATGACAAAACTATAATCTCGTGAGTCAACGATGATGGCATCCTCAGCTGTGACTGGGAGGTAGGGTGCACTGTGGCTCTTACAGTCTTAAGCCCTGGAACTTCTTGTAGGGTAGCTGATGCAGTTTTAGACATGATGGTTTTTGACTGGATTGCCGATTTCCCTGGTTGCTGTACTGACTTACTGTAGTAGGTACGGATGAGAGTACTGACTGCTGGTTTACTGGAAAGATATCCTGATTGCTTGATAGCTTGACTTGTTCCTGGCTGCAATGTAATGTGGCTTGCAAGTGAAGATATTGTCCTAGCTGTATTCTGTGGCATGGAGCGACTTTCAGAAGTAGAAGGATTTGCTGTTAGAGAATCTAGCTGTTTTCCAGCCCATTTTTCCCATTTGCCCCCCTGTTTGCCTGGTTGCCCATGCATCGACGTTTGCAATGCCAACTGGGATGAATGTGAGGCACTAGATTGTCCATGCTTCGCAGCCTGCAGTGCCAACTGGCTTGAATGTAAGGTGCTAGATATCCCATGCTTTGCAGCCTGCATTGCCATCTGGCTTGATTGAGAGGATGGTGTGTGGCGTCGTTTCACAGCCTGCTGCCCGCGCTGGCTTGAATATACAGAAGTCATGCGTGCCTCTTTAACAGCTTGCGAAGATATCTGGGTTGAGAGTGTGGAAGGTGTGTGTGTTGGTTTACCAGCCTGCAGTAAGCTCCACTGCATCATCGCCCTGACGTTGGCTTCGGCCTCGCTTGGATGATAACCACCAAGCTTTCCCCCAGCGGCGTCTATGTGCGTCGCCGCCGGCCTGTGCGAGAGACTACTCCTCGACGATATCTGAGACTGCGAGAGAGACGACAGCTCGACCGCGTGCACAGACGACTTTCTCGGCACGCCGGCCGCTTGCGAAGGCACGCGCGCGGCGACGGCCGGATAACCAGCGCCGGTGTCCGTCGCACGTGCAAAACGCTTGTCCTTGCTGCCGGCGCCCAATGCGCGCTTGCCGCCGTCGCCGCCTGCGGACGACGGCTTCGTGAAGCTCTTGACGACCGACTGCGGGTCGAGCTTCACCGAGCAGGGCTTCACCAGCCTGCGATGCTCGACGTGTGCGACTGCGGGCCTCCTCGGCCGCACGCCCCCGCGGTCGCCGTCGTCACCGCCGCCGTCGGGGACTGACTCGGCGACGACCATCGGCTTGCCGACAGTGTAGTAGCTGGCGGGTTTCGCGTCGGCGACAGCCTTGTGCTTGGGCAGCGTCTGCACGAGCGTCGACGCCGTGCGTGGCTTCTTGCCGGCCGGCGGCGGGGCCCTGCCGAACGCCAGCCCAGCGACGGAACGCTGCTTTTGCAGCACGGGAGTGAAGATCCCCAGCCGCGGTTGCTTCTCCGACGATCTCTGCTGCTCGATGGCCGTCTTGAGGTGGCTGAACGGGCTGGCCGGGGAGGACCTAGCTGCCGGCGCGCTCTCTCCTGCAGGCGTGGACTGGGCGGCCCGTGCCAGGGACTGGGGTATGGACTGGGCGGCCCGTGCCGGGGGCTGGGGTATGGACTGGGCGGCGCATGCCGGGGACTGGACCATGGTTGGGGCAGCGCGTGCCAGGGACTGGGCCATGGTCTGGGTGGCGCGCGCCGGGGACTGGGCTGCACGTGCTGACTGGGCCATGCCCGCAGTCTGTGCGGTGCGCGCGGACTGGGCCGCCTGCTCGTACACCTGCTGGATCTGCCGCAGCTGCTCGGCCTCGCTGATCGACTGCTTCTCGATGTTGTCTGCGCCCAGGAAGCTGCAGAAGGCCTTCATGTACGCGCTGCTCGGCCTCGCCGAAGCCGGCGGCGCCACCTGCGGGCTCTCCACCGTCGTCGTCCGCTCCTGCTTCGCACGCAGTTTCTCTGCTATGGAGGCGATGAGCCCGGCACTGGCCTGCTGTGCGCCGTCCCCCGGGTAGCCGGTCTCGCCGGTCTCGCCCGCGTAGCGCTCCTTGCCGCCCAGCCGCCGCTTCTTCAATGGCAGTGTGTCGTTTCGGATGTCCGGCGATACCACCGTGAACTGGCGCGGGCGGGGAATCTCGCCCGGTTCGAGTACGCTCTGCTTCCTTTTCTGGGGGGCGAAGGAAGAGGCAGTGGCGGCGGGGGTGCGGTACAGCACGTCTGCGCTGGCTCGTCTCTGTATGTACTGCGCCCACGAGCTCGCCAAGTTCGTCTGCAAGAAAACGCGCGCTGGTGTATATAGTCGCCAGCACTCACTCCCGTTCACATAGTATAAACAAGTGCCGCAGTGCGACAGGGCTCATCTGGTGTCTAGTGTTCTGCTGATAAATTCATTTGTGCATAGCAAGACCTCTTATCCATAAGTCTTCTTTATTCTTGTTTGACTTTCGTAGCCAATTTGAACAAATATATCAGCTACACTTTCGCACCCACCTAATCTCTATGGGCTAATTCTAATAACAAGAACAATAATAACAATTCAAATACAAGTTAATGAATGACATTGACGTTGACATAAAAGATTTCAACATATGAGCATGGATCTCCAAGTTTAATTAGAGGGGGCGGGGGGTCCTTCTCTCCCACCTCCCTCCCCACTGCGTCCCACCTCCCTCCCTCCTGCCTCTCACCTCCCTCCCCCTGCCTCCCACTTCACTCCCCTTGCCTCTCACTTCCACCCCCTTACCTCCCATCTCCCTCCCCCTGCCTCCCACTTCACTCCCCTTGCCTCTCACTTCCACCCCCTTACCTCCCATCTCCCTCCCCCTGCCTCCCACTTCACTCCCCTTGCCTCTCACTTCCACCCCC